AAGAGGCTCTTACTATCCGCTGCCCAGAGATAGCTGAAGTATCAAACCGTCTTCGTAATATGTTCATCACTACTCCTTCCGTCACGCCTGACGCTTTCTTCGTTGAACTCAGAATGCTGCAGGTCTCTCAAGACTTTGATGCAAAAGTACGAAGAATGCATGCATATATGCATGCATTCATTTATGCATGCATGCAGTAGCGCAGACGTACCACGTTAGAGGCACAGTGCGTGCTCGCATGTTACTGTTTTTTGTTATTGTTATGGATGCAAAGACATGCAAGAAAGACAATTCCTTTGTTGATGCCTCCTACTGGCTGGCTTACGATTCTGGCTTCGTTTTCTGTGTTGAAGTGAAGAGTAGTACGAATTCTGTTTGGTTATCTTCTTTATTTGTTCGTTTGTTTTGTTTGTATTGTTTGTTTGTCTTGTTTGTACTGTTTGTTTGTCTTGTTTGTCTTGTGTTTACTCTTTGTTCTGTTGTTTGTCTTGTTTGTTTCTTTGGTTTTGTTTTGTTTGTCTTGTTTGATATGTTGTTAGTATGATTATCTTTGTTAATTTTATTGACGTTTTGTGTGTGCTTGTTTGCAGTGCCGTTTATTTGTTGTGCTGAGCGCGCTGTTTAAGGAGGGTTTAACCCCTGAGGGTTTGGATCAGAAGATGCCTTTTGTTGTAAAGTGCTGCGACTCATCGGTTCGTTCTTCGGATATAATATACGCACTGGAGAACTTTTGTTTTGAAAGTGAAGAGACGCAAATGACGGGCTTCCCCTATTTGCTGCAGCGTATGTACAACGCAGAGTTGCTAGAAGCTGAAGATATTCTTAACTACTACAACGCAGACACAACTGATCCTGTTACGCTCAAATGCAAGACCTTCGCAGAGCCCTTCCTGCAGTGGCTGGCAGAGGCAGACTCGAGCGATGAAGAATAAAATAAATGGAAATAAAGATGCTATTCGCTGGGGAGAAGTGGAAATAAACAGAGCTAAGAAAAACCTTCAAGTTGTATATTGTGATGATTGCATAGTAAATTATGTATACGGCACTCGGGAAGATAACGCATGCAAGCTTATTATTGTTCGGCGCTGTTGTTCATCTTAAGGGTTTAGGGTAAAGGGTTTAGGGTTTTTACCATTAACCCTAGACGAGAGACTTTCAACTTTATTGTTTCGTCTTTATTTTATTATTTCCCCGAGAAAGCGGAGACAGTCGCGGCCAACGGCGAGTGTGAAGATCAGAGGATGCCTTCTGTCTTTTTGCAAATTCTTTCGAGTATTACTCTGATCTGTTGTTTGTCGTTCACTCAAGAAGACGGTTGAAGGTTGGGCGCTTTAGGAATGCATGCATGCATGCATGCATGCATTTGGTTGTTGCTGTTCTTGTTGTTGGGGCTGCTGGGGCCGTGTTGATGCCCTGGTAATGGATGGTGTTTTATTGTCTTCTTGCAAAACTAAGCTGCACTACTTTCGCGTATTATAAGCCCCCAGTGTCAGAGGTGGTTTGGGGTGTATGTACTGTGGCACGGTAGGCCGCACAGAGGCCTCTTTATATTATTCTTATTGATTAATTCAGCAGCCGCAACACAGAGTGAAAGCTATTCTTCATTTTTTACATTCTGCATGCATGTGCCGCTGTTCGTATATATTATGTATAATACTCAGATGGGGAATTACAGGCGGTGTGTATATAATGCTGCATTGTGTGCATTTGATATTATATATAATATATCTGTGTACATAATAATGTACGAATATCCTTTGGGAGTGAAGTCCTTCCACTCGCTGGGGGAGGGGGCCTCCCTATGGCTGGCTCAGGCATTATCTTAGCTGAAGAAGTTCAACAGAACCTGGATATGAACAATGTTGCGTATGAGAGGCTCTGTTTGCGTCTGTATTGTATTTTAGTTTATTCACTTTTGCTTCCTCTCTAGCGCTCTTTCTTATACAGTTATTTCGCAGACTAAATTCTCCCCTGCAAACCTTTTGAAACGAACTAGTTCAGGGCCCCCGTGTGTGCAAGACCAACTATTTAGGGTTAGGAGGTAGAAGTTAAGGGTTTAGGGTTTAGGGCTTTCAGGGCTTTCAGGGCTTCAGTCTCTGCGCAACACAAGTGTTAGGAAATAGGTCTAGGGTCTAGGGTTTAGGGCTGGGGTTTCTGGGTATTCTGTTTCTGCAGGACAAACGGTTGTTGAGTTTAGGGTTTAGGGTTTAGGGTTTAGGGTTTGCAGGAGGAGTTTGAGGGACAGGGGTAGCTGAAGCGTGAGGCCCTGCGGTTGCAGAGAAAGAGGTGCTGCGCTTGCTACTGCAGCACAAGATAGGGTTTTATCTGTTGCTGCTCTCTCGAGGGCCTCCGCTTGGGTATTGGCTTCGATTCCAACTGCCTTCACAATGGAGGAGGCATGCGGGTGCTGAGTGATCTGCAGAACCTGCTTGAAGGCAGCCGGAAGAGGAAGGAAGAAATGCAAAAAGAATGAAGAGAAATGCGTTCAAGATGCCTCACCAGTTCGTTCAAAGTGGTATCCCAGTTTGTCGCTGCACAGGACTAAAGCACGTCAATAAATTTAGTTGTTTATTTGAATTAGTTTCGCTTCGTCTGTTCCACGTACTTGCGAATAGCACTTGGGGTGTACAGACACCAGAACTTTGTTCAACACGCAAAACAGAGCAACGGCGTTGTCTTGCATTTCTCCCGTCAAGTCGGCCCCCAACAAAGAAGTACTAATTGCAGAAATACCTGAAACCCGTGCATGCATACGTGCATGCATGCATGCATGTATGCATGCATGTAGGGTGTATGGAAGGCAAGACTCACAAATCGCTTTTTTTAGACAAGACAAACAATCTGAAGAATCATCAACAAGACACAAAAGAAGCTCCATCATCGCGGGGCGCGCGAACCAGCGGCTGACGTTTGCTGCAGCCGACAGAAATAATAAACAACTTAAAAGCGTGCATGCATGCATTCATGCTTGCATGCAAGTATTGTTTAGGAGCAAGTCCTAGAGGCCTTTTAATGCAATGCAAATGACTTACAATATTCCCTCCAAGGAGATATCTCTTGAAGGAATGAAGTCGCTAACTTCTCCCATTCTCTCTCAACAATTTTGATGAAGTCGGGGCAGCTCGGCAGCAGTTCTGCATGCAATTAAAATGCATGTTTCTTTTGTTTTTTTCAAGGTGTCTTCTAGTGGATAAGGTGCTTCTTTATTTCTGCCTTTTTGCATTAGACGCACGGAATATCTCAGTTAATTGCTGCTTAATTGCAGCAGGCAGAAGACTTTTTTCTTCTCCTTTTTCTGAAGTGTTTATAAGAGGGGCTCTGCAGAGCTGGAGACTCTCTGCAATAAATTCATTTAAAGCTTGCGCAGCTAGAGGACAGCTGGGGTCAGTGCGCAGCATCCAGAGGCCTGAGCTTCCGAAAGAAAATATTTAGTAATAAACACTTATTTTTCTAATCTTTTAGGTGTTTAATATTCACCTTTCATTATCTCTTTGAGCCCGCAGCTGCTCCTTCGCGCCGATCTTCCCACACAAAATTCAGGGAAGTCCAGCGATGTTTCTGTCTGAGTTTGTTTTATTGGGTTTGTCTTCTTCTGTTATTTTCTTCGTTACAACATAATATCATTTTGCTCGCACCACTGACAGAGGTAGAGAGTTAGGCAGGCGGGGAGCCTCCACATTGAAATATTTCTCTTCTTTCTCCTCTTCAAATGCAGCAGAACCTTGACAACAACCGTGAGAAGAAGCAGCAAAAGACTTGCGTGCTGCTGCTGCACGATCTTCTTCTGCTGCTCCTGTCTGCAGTACGCAGTGTACAGCGCCATGAGCGTAGCTGTCTGCACATAGAAGGAAAGAAAATGCAACAGAAAAACAAATATAGTAAAAGCGGCTATTGCTCTTTCAGATTTGCAACATACTCAACCAAGAACAAGAAACCCCCGCCCTTTCCATGCTTACATGCAACGGAGTTTCTGCTTCCGTCTGTTCGTTTTCTTTTGGTTTGTTTGCTGCGCCGTTTCTGCTCATACAGCAGGCTGATCGCCTGGATCTTGAATGTATCGCAGAAGCCTGCCTGCTGTAGTGAGGAGATGCGTACAGTTAAACCACTTCAACTGCACATACACCGCAAGCTGCCGCTGCTTTTTACTTACCGAGTCAGCAGAAGCAGTTGAGGGAAGAACGATATTTTCATTGCCTTCCCCGGCCGCATCTGGCCACGGATAAGGCAGGGATATTTCTTTTTCTTGATGAATTTCATTTGCTTCACAACGCTGAACTGGGTGCGCATTTGCAGCCAGTTGTCTATCTGTTTGAATTGGAGTATTTTGATTGATGATGCTGCAGCAACTGTTGTCTTGAAACATCTTTGAGGGAGAATTTGTGCTGTTCTTCTGCTGCCTCCTCCGCGTCAGCAGAGCCAATGCAGCAGCCCGCAGCGCCTGTTTCTTCTGTTTTCTCAACGGATCTCAATTAAAAAGCAATTAAGCGTTTCCTCACCTGTTCCTCCATTACTATGAATATACAGCTCCAATTAAATATTAAAAAGCACTCGATTTCATACAGAAACGCCGTGAATACCTATGCGGTGAGAAATGCAACATATAGTTGGAGGCGGTGCAGCGCGAGCTGTACGTACACCCCATCTTTGCATTATTTTTCTCTTTGGCATTAGACAGTTACTCCTCCCCTGGACTATTTAATGTGCCTAATATACGTTTTTTTTGGGTCGCTGTACTAATCGCTTTGCCCGCTATCAGCTAGGAAACCCCTAGTGCTTGCTTCTGCATCTACAACTCAATTGAGATACTAAATAGCGACTAATGTTTAAAACAGCTCATATGTTTGTGAGGTTTGGCTGAAGTGCCGTCAGTACAAACCCACGAGCAGCACTTCGCCGTCAAAGACCTGTCAGTTCATCCAGCCTTCCCGCCAGTGTTCAATTTCTTTTGGGGGGCAGTTGAGGTGCTGTCTTTTTTTCAGAGGCAACATACTTTTTCTTTTAGAAAACCCAATTAGAGGGGAGTAAGAGAGCAAATGCATGCGTGGGTGAATTAAGGAGGCATACTTTGCAAAGGTTGCAACACAAGGCATGCAGGGCGGCCCTTTTGCTAACCCCAAAGGAGGGCTGATCAAGCTGTAAGTATACTACTTTCTCTGTATAGCGATATTGCCCTTCATGTATTCTTTTTATTAGGAATGCACCAACAATACAAAATACTAAGTTGTGTATTTCATCAGGAATATGAACAACACAAGACATTGGTATCGGTTCTTCTTAGGGAAGAAACAAACCGCACGAAATAGTGCTTTGTGTTATTTATAAGCGGAATTGCCTCTCCAGCGACAGACACAGGAAGCAGATTCAAACAAGCTCCAATAATAAGTTCTAGCGCCTAGGGTGAAATCTGATGGGGAGGGTTAGACTACTCAACCGGAAAAACGAGCAACATCATAAGATTAGAAATATCCCTGTATGGTTGGCCCTGTCTGTTGTTTGTCTGCTTGTCTGCCTTCAAAAACATAGCGCGAAATCTATGCATGCAAATAATAACAACACTAAAATATATTACTTCCCCTAAAAGTCTGCACGATCAGTATTGACGTCCTTTTTAAGTATTGCAAGTATAAATGACTGATGTTCTCACCCGTTAAAAATAAAGAACAGTTAGTTTATACTCTGTATATCCACCTAACACATTAAATGAAACAATTTGCTCAAATAAAGAGTCTTCAATTTCTGCAGTTTATACCGCCTCCGCACGTGTGTTGAGCTCGCCTGGCTAGCACCATGGCTCTGAAGTAGGGCAATAACAAAAGGAAGGAGATTTTCACAAAATAAACATTTATAATGCAGAGTAATGAACAAAAAGAGAGAAACATTTGTAGAAGGGAGCGGGAGAAGGAACGCTGGCTTCTTCTTGCAGCTACAGGAACCTGAAACATGCAATGAACAGACGAGCCTCGAGCGGCAGCACAAGAGGGGAAGGAAAGCGTTATTTAGTTTGCTCCTTCTGTTAATACTTCCCTTTGAGTCTTTTTATTGATCAATAACTTAAAGTTTCATTCAAGAGATACTCACGAAAACGCATTTTTTATCAACACCAAGCAACCCTCTGCCTCCTTCAGAAACGGCCACTGGCCCACTCTGTACTTCCATCGCGATCTTTGCGCTTCAGACTTTCTTCTTCATCTCCTGATGCATTTTCTGTTCTTGTCTTCCTTCATTTCTTCATTAGAAGAGAAAACTCATCAGAGATCGCCCTAGAGCCTCACGAATCAACCGCTAGCAGCAGGTCCTTGCAGGCGCTCCTGCATGTTTTTCTGCACTGCATCCAATGGAAACCTCAGAACAAACTTCTCCTCCTCGACCTCCTCCGGTTAGTTATCTGTATTTTCCGCCTTACAAACTCAAATATGTGGAAGAGGCAATACCCCCAAGCAAGAGCACAGCGGCATGCCTTATACACACATCTATGCATGCATATATACACACATGCAGAAACAGATGCATATTATGCATTTTAATTCAATATTGTTGTATGTACAGTGCAGTGCTGCGCGCGTCTTTTACTTCTTCAGGGAGAGTCGGAGGAGCCTCTGACTCTTGAGGTGAGAGGCTTCTTGGAAGTGTTTGGCGTACGGAGCCGACAGGGCTCTGATGTAGGTGAGTTATTTATCAATTGATTCTCTTCTTAATTTTCGCCTCCTTCCATTAGTGCCATTAAACTTCGTTCGCCGCACTGCAGCCTCCCCAGCGCTTCCGTTCTGTGTATGCTTGCCTATCAGTTGCGTTTCTGCTGCTCTGTTTGTTTGCTGCATTTGCTGCTGCAGCTCCTCGCCGCAGTTTATCTCGAGGCAGTTCCATAGGTAAGGCAGTTGGGGCCCCAAAGGCGGCTTCTGAGGGCTCCACAGCTGCAAAGGCAGCAGCAGTGCGGAAAGCAGTGGGAGCCCCTGGGGAGGCTGTGGGGCCCCAGCAAGAGCAGCAGGGTGCCCCTGGGGCTCCCGCTGTGCAGGCGAAGGCTCGCATGGTAAAGAAAGCAGCACCAGTAGCAGCCCCCAAGGCAGCTAAGGCAGAAGCCAGCTCCACGGCTGTACGCCTGAGCAGTGCAGATGCACGCAATAAAGAAGGAGAAACAGAAACAAAAGATAAACCTAAGGGCCTCCCCCACCGCCTCTTATCCAAGGCAGCTGCCGCTCCTAAAGCTAAAGAGGGTGCAGCTGAAACAGCAGCAGCAGCAGCAGATAAAACCCGTCCTGCAGCAACAGAAGCAGCAACAGCAGCTAAAGCCCCTCCTGCTGCAGCAAAAGCTGCAACAGAAGCAGCAACAGCAGCAGATGCACCAAAGGAGGCTCCTGCCGCTAAAGCTGCTGCAGGGCTGCCTCCAGTTAAGAAGGTCTTAACAAAGAAAGCAGCACCACAGGCAAAAGCTGCAGAAGCTGCGGAGGCCCCTCAGACTGCAACGCCACAAGTCCCTTCAAAGAAAACAATTGTTAAGAAGGCAGCACCGGCTACTATGATACGAAGAGGCAGCTCTGGAACTGCAGCAGGTGCAGCAGATGCAGCAGCAGCAACAGCAAAAGCACCTTCTGCAGCAGAAGCAGCAGCAGCACCAAAGGCAACAAGTGAAGCAGCAAAAACTACAGCAGCAACACCTGGAGTAGAAAGTAAACCAGCAGCAAAAGAAGAAAAACCTGCAGCAGACGCAGCTGAGAAGCGACCTAAGGCAAAAGCAGCACCTCCAGCAGCAGCAGCAAAAACTGAAGACAAGAAGCCTACAGCAAAAGAGGCAGATAAGAAGCCGGCAACAGAAGCAGCAGACGCTGCCGATAAGAAACCTAGCACAGAAGCAAAAGGAGAGAAACCTGCAGCAGCAGCAGGAGATAAACCTGCAGCAGCAGCGGCAGAAGAGAAGCCTGCAACAGAAGCGAAGGCAGCAGAAAAAGATTCTGCAGCAGATGCAGCAGCAAAGGAACCTGCAGCAGAAGCAGCAGAAGTGAAGCCTGCAGCAGAAGCACAAAAGGAGAAAGGTGCAGCAGCATCAACAGAAGCAGCAGGAGCAGCAGCTGCTGCTGCAAAGGTAGAAAAGGAGAAGAAAGAAGACAAAGACAAACCAACAGAAACCAAAGAGACTAGCCTTAAGCATTCAGAAGTTGCAGATGCAGAAGCCGCTACAAAAGAAGCAGCAGAAGGGGCCCCCCAGAAGCTGACGTCTTTAGAGCTCGCAATGAAGGCAGCAGAAGCACAAATTAGACAAGAAGCAGCAGCAGGGGCCCCTACTGGGGCTGCTGCAGCAGCAAAGAAAGCTGTTGCGAAGAAAGCTGTGGGGCTTGCAGGTAAAGCAGCAGCAGCTGCTGCAACAGCTAAGACAGCAGCAACAGCAGCAAAAGCACAAACACCAGCAGCAGCAAAGAAGGCTGAGGAAAAGAAAGAGATGAACGGAGGAGCTGCAGCAACAACGGCAAAGACACCGCAAGAAGGGGGACAGAAGAAAGCAGCAGAAGCATCAGCAGCAGCAACATCAACATCTGACGCTCTTAAGAAGGCAGCAGCAACTCAGGTAAAGGTTCCTTTGAAGAAGGCAGCCCCAACTCCACCTGCAGCAAAGGCAGCAACCGCAGCAGCAGCAGCGGCGAAGACGGCAACAGCAGCAGGAACAGGAGCAGCCAAAGCAGCAGAGGCAGCACAAGCGAAAACACCTTCAGCAGGAGCAGCAAAAGCAACGCCAGCTTCAGAAGCAAATGGAGTAGCAGTAAAAACAGCAGCAGAAGGTTCTGAAGCAGCAAAAGAGACAGCAGCACCCAAGCAGACGTTAGTCGTAAAAGCTGCCCCCAAAGCAGCGGCAAAGGTAGCAGCAAAAGCAGCAGCGACACCAGCAGCAAAGGCAGCTGCATCAAAGACAGCAGCAGCAAAGACAGCAGCAGCAAAGACAGCAGCAACAGAGAAGGCAGAGGCTGAAGACCGCACGAAGGTAAAGGAGGCCCCCAAGGCAGGTGCTGCAGCAGATAAGCCGTCGGTGCAGCAGCAGACAGCAGCAAAAGAAGACAAAGCAGCAGCAAAAGAAGACAAAGGAGCAGCAAAAGAAGACAAAGGAGCAGCAAAAGGAGAACGTGGGCCCTCAGAACAGAAAGACAAAGAGGGAGCAGCTGCAGCAGCAGGAGAACGGAAGCAAGCAGCAGCAGCAGCAAAGACAACAGCAGCAAAGACAGCAGCATCAAAGACAGCAGCCACAAAGACGCCCACAAAAGCAGCAGTGAAGGCAGCATCTAAAAGCGCAGCAGCAGCAAAACCAGCAGCAGCAGCAGCAGCAGCAGCAAATGGCGACGAGGTCCCCTCAAGCCCTCCACCTTCGCAGCCAACGAAAACCAAAGCTGCTTCGTCTTCTGTCTCCTCAAAGGGTGCTGCTGCTGCTGCAGCAAAGGGCCTCGAAGGTGAAGCTCATGCTGCTGATGGCGAGCGCAAGGGGTCTCCCTCACCTGCTGCAGAAGGGGGCCCCTTGAAGGCAGCAAAAGCTGCAGCAGCAGAAGTAGAAAACGGAGCAGCAGCAAGCTTAGGAAGCAAGAAGGAAGCGAACGATAATATTTCTTCTGTCTCCTCTGAAGGCCTTTCAGCTGAGGCAGAAGAGCAGCAAAACAGCAGCACCACTAGACAGCGCCCTGCTGCTGTTCCCCGTCTAACTCACCTTCCTTCAAAAGATAAGGACGGGAAGCTGCTGCTGCTGCTGCCTAAAGCTGAAGGCCCTGAGGGCCCCTCCAGCAGCGGCGCAGCAGATGAAGAGACAGAAGGAGGACAGCAAAATAAAAAGAGTAAAGGTGCTGCTGCAAAGACTAAGGTGGAAGACAAAGCAAAGAAGACAGCAGCTGGGGGGGCGCCTTTAAAAGAGAAGAAGAAACTGCAGCAGAAAAAAGAAGCAGCAGATACGGGAGCAAAGGGGACAGAGAAAAAAGCAAAAACAGCACTTAAAGATAAAACAACAAAAAAATCAGCAGCCCTCAGCAGCAAAAGCCAAACATCCACTGTGAGAACGGAGAAGATACAGACAGATCCCTTTGCTGCTGCTGCTGTTGCTGCTGCTGTTGTTGCTGCTGTTGCTGCTGCTGCTGTTGCTGTTTTTGTGTTGCTGTTGCTGCTGTTGTTGTTGCTGCTGTTGCTGCTGCTGCGTTTGCTGTTTTTGTTGTTGTTACTGCTTCCGTTGCTGTTGCTGTTGTTGCTGCTGCTGTTTCGCTGGGGGTGCTGTTGCCACTGTCTCTGCTGCTACTGCTGCTGCTGCTGTTGCAGTTGCTGCTGCTGCTACTGTCTTAGTCCGTATCAATGTGCGGTGTGTTGGTGCTGCGGGATAGAAGGAAGCTGCTGCTGCTGCTGCTGCTGGGGCCCCTGAAGGAGACAAGGAAAAGAAGAAACAGAAAGAAGAGACACCCTCAGTCGATGTTTCGAAGGGGGTTAAGGGGCTGCGCTCCTCCATAGAGAAAGACGGGCAGCTTGCTGCTGCTGCAGTAAGCTGCTGCTAGCAGCAACACGAGGAAATAGAATATTAAATAGTTTATCTATTATTAAATAGTTTATTTATTATTATGCAGTTTATTTATTATTAAATAATATATTAAAAAGTAATTGGGACTGGAGAAGCAGGACCCTGCTTTAATAATCAAATATATTATATTCTCTAAACCCTAAACCCTAAATAATGTATATATGCACTCCTACATATATATTATATATATATATAGGGGGGTGTTTGCTGACTGCTGCTGCTTACACTCTTCGGCTTTTGCTATATTTGTTTGATTGTATGCATGCATTTGTTTGAGTGCTTAGTTTTGCTGCTGTTGTGTGTCTGCAACAGAGCGGAGAGGGGAGGCTCTTGGGTTCTCTCTTTTCTCTGAAGAACGCCGACAGCAAAAGGGGGCTGGAGGCAATCTTAGGAGCAGCATCACCAGATGCAGCAGCAGCAGCAGGAGATGCAGCAAAAGCAGCAGCACCAGCAGCAGCAACCAGCAAACAGAACTCTGCAGAAAGTGTGCAGCAGTTGAAGGAATCGAAGGAACAGCCCGAGGGCGCTGCAGCTGCAGATGCAGCACCACCTGCAGCAGCAGCAGCAGCAGCAGCAGCAGCAGGCAAAGAGAAACAGCAGTCTGAGCTTCAGCTGAAGACTGCTGCATCAATGGGGGAGGGCCGCTCTCTTTCTCGCCAGACGTCTGCAACAAAAGCTGTGGGGTCAAAGAAGGGAGAGAAGGCAGCAGAAAAAGAAACTGCTGCTGCTCCTGCAGCAGCAGCAGCAGCAGCAGCAGCAGCACCTACTATTCCTTTGGCAGAGCGCTTTGCTGCCCTGCAGCAGCGGCCAGTCAAAGAAGAAGAAGCAAAGAAAATTAAAGAGCCCTCCAGGGAGCCCTCAAGGGCTTCCTCTGGGATCCGATCCCCACCTGCTACTACAAAGAAACAACTTTCCACAGGTAAGCCTTGCAGCAGCAGAAGCAGTAGCAGCAGCAGCAGCAGCACAACCAGCAGCTGCTGCAGCATCAGCCCCACCATGTAACTTTAGCTAGCGCAAACATACTTGGGTGTATATGCATCTGTGTGTGTGTTTCGCTTGCTGCTTAGAGTTGCTGAAGCAGCTTTCATCTGCTTCCGTTGGGCTGCCGTCCTCTGCAGCGCCGCAGGAGGCCCCTGGGGGCCCCTCAGGGGCCCCGGTTGCCCCTGACGGTTCGTTGCTGCTGCAGACAAAAAGCATATCACCTTCTTTACTAGAAGAAAGACTTGCAGACCCTAAAGTTAAGCAGAGATACATGCAGCATGCGGCCTTCATGCTGCAGCGGGGCGTGGCGTGGGGCGTTCCTGAGCGAGCTTCTGCTGCAGGTACACCTGAAGGAGCAGCAGCAGCAGCACAGCGAAGGCGTGTATGCTGCGGCAGCAGCGATTTGAACGCGCTGGGGCTCTTCGCAAGATGCTACGGCTTCTCTTGCTGCACTCCTCCTTCTCCTCAGGATTCCCTCAGTAACGAGCTGCTTACTCAGTAGGCCGCTAGGGTTTAGGGTTCAGGGTTTAGGGGTTTGGGTCGCTAGGGTTTAGGGTTTAGGAAAAAGAGTTAAGATGCATTGGGTGGGGCTGCTTTCAAGCGTTTCTTTTGCTGCTGCGTTCGGGTGTATGTGCAGCTCCGCCACACAGCAAATGCCCAGCAGCGAAGCAGCGGCTGCTGAGGGTATAGAGCCCCTACCTAGCGGCCCGGCAGCTGTTGCTGCTGGAGATTCAGCAGATGAGCATGCAGCAGCAGCAGCAGCAGCAGCAGGAGAAGCAGCAGCAGAAGGGTACTGGGATGAGTACGGCAATTGGATCCCCACAGGATCGTTTGCAGGTGGGTCCTTTGCAGCAGGAGAGGGCGGCCCAGCAGGAGGAGATGCAGCAGCAGCAGCAGATGCAGCAGCAGCAGGGGATGCAGCAGCAGGGTACTGGGATGAACAAGGAAACTGGGTCCCTACACCAACAGCAGCAGCAGCAGCAGGATATTATGATGAACAAGGCAACTGGATATACACCGGAGACTACTACAACCAGCAGGGCAGTTGGGCGCCGCAGCAAAGTGAATACGAACAGCAGCAGCAACTGCAGCAGCAGCAGCCGCAGCAGCAGTGGGGAGATGGCTACGGAGGCTATTACGACCAGGGGGGGGCCGAGCAGCTGACACCAGAGCAGCAGCAGCAGCAGCTGGAACAGCAGCAGCAACAATACGCAGCAAACGGGTACTGGGATGAACAAGGCAACTGGCAGCAGCTAACGGAGCAGCAGCAGCAGCAGCTGCAGCCTCTGCAGAGTGGCTTCCAGGGCAACGGGTACTTCGATGAGGCTGGGCAGTGGACTGCGTACGATCAGCAGCAGCAGCTGCTGCAGCAGCAGCAGTAGCAGAAGCAGTAGTAGTAGCATTAGTAGCAGCAGCAGCAGTAGCACCCGGTGTAGTTGCAGCAGCAGCACTAGCAGCATCCATAGTAGCAGCAGCAGCAGAAGTCGTACTTGCAGCCATAGCAGCTGCTGCAGCTAAACACCATTAATAAAAACAGCTGCAGGTACTGCAGCGATAGCTACCACAGCAGCAACAGCAGCAGCTGCGTCAGCAGCAGCAAGCATAGTAGCAGCGCAAAACAGCAATGAACATGTACTCTCCTTTTCTTCAGAAACTTCTTTTTCGTTGTTAAGGCAAAGGTAGTAACACCAAAAGAGCATATTGCTGCTATTGCTGCAGCTGCTGCAGCTGCTGCAGCTGCTGCAGCTGGCGCTCCAGATAGATATTATTGACTGTTGCAGCAAATGAGGTGGGCATATGATAATAACGCGTAGTAAGAACAGCAGCAGCAGCAGCAGCAGCAGCAGCAGCAGCAGTTCTTACAATAAGATATAACAAATGCTGCAAGACAGCCAATCGAACGCATGCATCTCAAGAGCCCCCTTCTTGTGCATGCAGAAACATTATCGAAGAATTGATACTCAAGTTTTTCTTTAGTTTTTCTTGCGCATATTTCTGCATTATACTAACTTCCCACAGAGGCCCCTCCAGTAAACCCTAAGCCATAAACTCTAAACCCTAAACCCTAAACCCTAAACCTTAATTACTGTTTATGCTGCAGTCTAAACACGTAAGATGCCGTCCTCTGAATATGATGTGGATTGCGGCTGAGTGTGTGCGGAAGCTATAAAAGAAGAAGAAGATTAAAGGAAATATGAGTTAAAATGACGAAGAAATGAATCTTTTTCATTGAAATGTAATTAAACAAAACAGTAGAATAACCCTCAAACCTCCTATGCAGCAGCTGTGCTAGTAGTGGTTTAGCTCTATAGGAGGTGTGTGCGGAGGTGAGAGGCTGGAGCTTAGATGGTTGCATGCGTCTTGTTTGCATTTATTTTGATTGCGAAAATGAAAATAAATTGATTTTTAATGTTTAATTCACGTTTAAAATATTCAATTTCATGGGGAGGTGCCTATACACCCCAGCTCAGGTGGTTATATCGACGTAGCCGTTGCGGTGTATGTGCAGTGGCTGTTTGAAGTTTTTGTTGTTTTCTATGAGTTTGCATGCATATTTAGGGCTTATTTTTACTCATTTTAATTCATTAAAACCACACACAGCAGCAACAGATGCAGCACTCTGCTTGTTTCCCCCTCCCCTTATCCTTGCTGCATTTACTTCGTTAGCTTTCCTTTGCTCTGGTGGTTTCAAGGTGTATGCACAGCCCAAAAGTATTATTTTAAAGTAATATATTATGCAATAAAGAGCAGTTTATGCCGTTAGTTGCGGCTGCTGCAGACTTTATCTGAACAACGCAAGCAAAACAAGTGGATGAGGAGAGGGGGGTGAACCCCTCTCTTTGATTTTTATTTTTATTTTTGTTTTTGTTTGTTTCTTCAAAGTTTTTCTTTTGCTGCATTAGCAGCAGCACCCAGAGAGCCTTTTGTACAGGTTCTCTCTTTCTTCTTTTTCTGCGTTTCTACACTAGGAATAGCTTGCTGCTTCAAGCAACTGCTATGCTCTCACCTCTTCCCCTTAAGGCCCCAGAGGCAGACGTTGCTGCTGCTGCTGCTGCTGCTGCTGCCTCTGCTGTACGTACATCCAGTGAGGAACCCAACATAACGCATGCAGCAGCAGAAGAAAATACAGAGGGCCCCCTCAATCCCAGCAGCGAACAACAGACAGCAGCAGAAGGCGCAGCAGCACATGCAGCAACGACTACAGCAGCAACTGCAGCGGCAGCAGCACCAATAGCTGCACAAACAGCAACAGCTGAAGACAAGGTCACGAATGACGTGGAGCCCGGAAATGAGACTGTAAGACCCCCCTATTTTGCTGCTGCAGCACTTGCTGCTGCTGCACCTGCTGTTGCTGCACCTGCTGCTGCCGCACTTGCTGCTGTGTTTGTATTTGCTTGTGCTGCAGAAGGAGCCGTCAGCGCCCAACAGCGTGGAGCCCCGTCGGCAGCATCGGCCCTCATTGAAGCACAACAGCAACAACAACAGCAGCAGCAGCCGCAGCAGCAGCAGCACTCACCCCCATCGTTCTGTTACCTTTCGAGATAAAGTTTTTATAGCGGAGGTCCCCGTAGAAAAAATTCCTCATGCGCCAATCCCTTTGACAGACCCTTTAACAACCCCACCCCCATCAACACACTATCAGCAGCAGCAGCAGCAGCAGCAGCAGCGACAGCAGCAGCAACAGCAACTGCGCCAGCAGGGGATCCCTGCGGGAGATTTGAGAGGGCCGTTAAAGGGCGCAGGTGAGCTGCATGCATCCTGTTGCTGAGAGATTTGCTGCTGCTGTTGCTGCTGCTGCTGCTGCTGTTGCTGCTGCTGCTGCTGCTGCTGCAGCTGTTGCTTTTTGTCTTTGTTTCTGCTGCTGCGGCACATGCTGCTTCTGCTGCTGCTCCTTGTGCTTGCTGCTGTGTGCTTCAGGCGAGCAGCAGCAAGCTGCTGCAGTGTGGGGCCCTCAGCAGCAGGGGCCCCCAGGGGGGGCCCTGGTGCTGCCGAGGAGCCCCTGGGCCCCTGCTACAAGGGCTGTACGCGCTGTCTCTGTTGGGGCTTCCCCGCTGCTCGAGAGGCTTTTGTATCTTTTGAATTGCTGCAGCCCTAAACCCTAAACCCTAAACCCTAAACCCTAAACCCTAGCTGCCCGCTGGGGAGACAGCCATTTGCAAGAAACAAATAAATGAAGAAATTGACAAAAACAAAGAGACAAACAAATACACAAAAAGCAAAAAAAGATATAAATTAATAAGTAGGCATAGAATAAACATAGACACAACAAACATATATACATATATATATATTTATTTACATATGTATATATATATATATGTATATATATATATATATATATATATATATTATATATATATATATATAAAGACAGCG